TTTTTTTTTTAAGCTGAGTGAAGGCACAGAACTCTTTTTAATTTTTAAAATAGATTTCATAGAGGAAGGGAGACGGAGAGAGATAGAAACATCAATGATGAGAGAGAATCATTGATTGGCCGCCTCCTGTGCGCTCCCTACTAGGGATTGAGCCCACAACCCAGGCATGTGCCCTTGACCAGAATCAAACCCAGGACCCTTCAGTCCGCAGGCCGATGCTCTATCCACTGAGCCAAACGGGCTAGGGCCCATGCCTGGGCTTTGATAAATGCCTGAACTTCCACACAGGGAAAGATGGTGTGGGAACAGGATGCTAATTTGTTGGGGTGAGAAGCGTCCTGGGAAGGTCCATGGGTGGACGAATGGAGCTGGATTTTGAAGGATGGGTTGGACTTTAAAAGATGGACTAAAGCACTCAAGTTCAGGAAACACAGACAGTCCCAATCAAGATGAACCCAAAAAGACTCACACCTGGGCACATCGGAATTAAAATGGCAAATGTTAAAGACGAAGAATCTTACAGGCACCAAGAGAGAGACGGAAAGTTACCTACAAGGGAGCTCCCATTAGACCGTCAGCTGATTTCTCAACAGAAACACTTCAGGCCAGAAGGGACTGGCATGGCGTATACAAAGTAATGAAAAGCTAGGGACCAAATCCAAGACCACTCTAACCAGCAAGGCTATCATTCCAAATTGAAAGCGAAATAAATAGCTTCACTGACAAAAAATGGCTAAGATAGTTTATCGCCGCCAAACCAAAACCGCAAGAAATGCTACAGGGACTGTTGTGAGAAGAAATGGGGTGGGAGAGGGGGAATATCGGCATAAAGAATAAGAACGGGAACAGATGAGCACCCATCCGTAATAACCTCAAATGTAAACGCTCAGATGCTCCAATCAAACCCATAGGGTAGCTGAATGGGTGGAAAATATAACCCATATGTAGGCTGTCTACAAAGTCCCACCTCAGAACAAAAGACTCCCACAGGGTGACAGTGAAGGGATGGAAGAATTTTCCCTGCCAATGGAAATGAAAGAAAAAAACCTGGGGTAGCAATACTCATATGTGACGAAAAAGACTTCAAAACGCATCACCTCCTAGGGCAAGAGAAGCAAAGGGAAAACTAAACAAGAGGGAATATACCAAAATAAAAAGCTTCTGCACAGCCAAAGACACCAGCATCAAAATGAAAAGGGAGCCCACTGCATGGGAGAACATATTTGCCACTGATACATCTGCTAAGGGGTTTTCCAAAAGTGTATAAAATACTCATCTATCTCAACAAGTGGTAGACAAATAGTCCAATTAAAAAATGGGTAGAAGACCTGAATAGACACTTTTCCAAAGAGGACATACAAATGGCCAAGAGACACGTAAAAAAATGCCCAGTGTCACTAATAATCAGAAAAATGCAAATCCAGTCGAAACCGGTTTGGCTCAGTGGATAGAGCGTCGGCCTGTGGACTGAAAGGTCCCAGGTTTGATTCCGGTCAAGGGCATGTACCTGGGTTGCGGACACATCCCCAGTAGGGGCTGTGCAGGAGGCAGCTGATCGATGCTTCTCTCTCATCAATGTTTCTGGCTCTCTATCTCTCTCCCCCAGAAACACCAATCAGAAAGAATGTATGCTCCCTTACATTCATAGCAGTATTATTCACACTAGCTAAGATTTGGAAACAGCCCAAGTGCCCATCAGCAGATGAGTCATAAAAAAGCTGTGGAATATTTATACCATGGAATACTACACAGCAGTAAAAAATAAGGATCTCATCCCTTTGAGACAGCGTAGAGGTGTTACGCTAAGTGAAATAAGCCAGTCAGAGAAAACAAGTTTCCCATGATCTCACTCCTATGTGGAAGCTAATGAATAAAATAAACTGAACTGATGAACAAAAGAGATCTAGACATCGAAGCAGGCCACAGACTGATGTATTTAGAGGGAAGGGGAGAGGTCAACCCATTTATGTGCATGTGTGCACAGCCCACGGACAGACAAAAGTGCGGGAGGACCTGCGGGGGAGGTGGGAGCAGGGTGGAGGGGGCCACTGGGGGGAAAAGGGGGACATCTGTAATACTTTCAGCAATAGAGATAAATTTAAATAATAAAATCTATGATAATGAAAGGGTAATATGCTAATTAGACCAGACATCATTCCGGATGTCCTTCCGGATGAAGCCGGGGCTGGGGGGAAGCCCGGGTTCCAGGTGCCAGAGGGAAACCGGTGCTGGCAGCTGGGGCAAGCAAGGCCTACTCTTGCACGAATATTCGTGCATCGGGCCTCTAGTCAAATATACCAGTAAGATGGACACCCTAGGTTAACTCACTAAAAAGGAAGTAAACACCCAAGTCAGCTGGAAGAAAGCTGAGTAAAATAAGTGCCCAGGACTCCGGGTGCACACCTGTTTGCCTCACGTCCCTCCTTCCCCGGAATACAGTCCCCAAATAAAAGGGCGGAGCTACAGGAAGTGACAAGCCTACAACAGCAACGACAAAGGAGGTGACAGCCCTGACCAGGTAGATCAGTTGGCTGAGAGCATCATCTGGGTAGGACAAGGTTGTGGGTTCAATCACCGGCCAGGGCACACACAGGAATCAACCAATGAATGCATAAATGGGGTGGAACGACAAATCTCTCTCTCTCTCTCTCTGCCTTCCCCTTTCACTCTCTAAAATCAATCAATAAAAAAATGAATATAAAGAAAGGAGGTGGGTTGGGGCAGGCCTCAGCACGAGGCACCTCTCAGGGACAGACCCTATAAACTGTGACCCCCACTGCCCTGCACAGGAGCCAGGCCCAGGCGTGGGGCCCTACGTGAACTCTCCCTTAACCCTCACTCAACCACCGAGACATGAAGCCACCCACACGGCTCACCTCTGGGCCATGGCGAGCGCGGACTCCACGGGCAGCGTACAGGGCAGCATCACGTAAGACATGACCTTCACCGGTAGGAAGCTGCAGATCCTGCTCCAGCAGCCACCTCGGGGTCTAAGTGCCTCACTCAGGCCTGAAAGATATCATTGGGGGGAGGCATCTTTATTCCTCCAGTGTAACCTCACCCAGGTGCTGCCTGCAATTCCAGTGAAACACACAAATCCTGCTGCCAAAGAATCAGAAGCCGGGCCCATGCCCTGGAGCAGGGAGTGCGGCCAGAACAGCCCTGGGACAGCCCCGGGCCCCGGATCAACTGTCCCACTGGCAGCTCTCCCTGGAGGAGACACCGACCCCCAGCCCCCCCCGCCTTTCGGGCTTTCCCAACACGCCCTCTTCTGCCTGGAGCCCTGGCTTCTCTTTCCCCTTTGTCGTGGCCGCAGGACCCTCAGATCGTAGCAACCTGGGCACCAGCATCGTGTTTATCTTTGAATTTCTCCCAGTGCCCGGATGCATCTGGTGTGCACTCCTGGCCCATCTGGTGTCTGACGACATGATCAGATCACTACCGCCGTTCAATGACAAGTTCAGAGCTGATGGTTCGGGGAAGGGGAGGCAGACAGGCTCCTCCAGAAAGAAGGCGTGGAGACGGGGCCCAGGCAGGAATGGTGTTCTGGAAGAAGGGGCCCACCCTCGGGGCCCCCCGCAATCCGGTGTGCCCGGGCCCAGGAACTGGGCGCATGCCCACTTAACTCCCAACGGGCTCACCGGGAGTGTGGCTTTTTCTGGCCGTGCACACGGGGAAGGGAGGCTGAGCAAGGCGCCCAGGTCGGGAGATGGTGCCCGGAGGGGAGGCCTTCTCTCCTCCCCGTGGCAGCATCACCTCCTCCCCACCCCGGAGAGAAGCCCTCTTAGCCCAGCAACAGAGAGCAG